AACAACTACAGAATAACAATTCTACCCAAATTTAAGTGCAAAAGAATTTCTGCATTATTTAATCAATATATACATGTAGAAAACGATTGATGGTCGTCAGTGCCATGAGTATCTACGCAAATGTCTAGCCAAGAATATAGTCCCGGCTAGATTTTAAACAAAGGGTACCGAAAAAATCCAGAAAAAGTAAGACAAAAATCCCTTCTTTACATGTTTGTGGCAAGCACAGTCTATTGACCCAACAAGCAAAACATTTCAAGATCCTGCCCTTTTCCTTCTGTTGTTTGACGAAAATAATAATCTTTTAAAATTATTTCTTCTTTCACCTCTGTATTCGTTCAGTACCTTAACTAATATAAAGACATTAAAATTATTTGTTGTTTTTAAAATACGAGAGGCATTTCAAAAGTTCTGAGAACTGTTCATTAAAATATTAACCATTTCACGGAAATTATTGAGTTTGATATCATTGGAAAGATCAGAAAAATACAAACATATAATGACGTCATTTTATAATTTTTATGACGTAATAACCCAGAAAATAACGTCAGACTTCCGCATGCTTTCGATACTGGCCATAAAAATGACATAACAAAAGACACCATTTGATCAATTAAAAATTTTAAAAGCAACTTCTGCTCATTACTCGGGCGCAAGCTATCGTATGTTAACTCTCACCTTTATGATCTTTCAATACTTCAGCTAATCTAAGGACATTAGAATTATTTTTGAACAATATTTCAGGTTCGTATGTTGATCAACGCTAGCACTGGTAACCCAAAGAATGGTCCTGATGAGCTTCTGGCAGTTAGAATGACCGTCAGCAACGCCATTGTCGATCCTTGGGTCTACATCATCCTGCGAAAGGAAAATTTAGTCAAAATCTCTAACTGGCACCAAAGAGTTCGTAGTTACTGTAGTAAGCCCAAACCAGAAATATACTTTATGAAGGAGACCCCAGTTACTGGAAGCAGAAATATCGGAAGCAATTCGTCGAATACTACAAACACCGTTTCTTTGTAATGATAGATGGCCCACTGTTTGTCAACGATTGTAAATATGCACATAGTAGTGGACAAAGTAATGGTACAAGTTGTTTGCTTGAAAAAACAAATTGTCTAAGAATTCTAAATGCTAAACATTCGAAGTAGAGAAAGATAAGATTTTTTTATCCCATGTTTACCAGAACCCTGAGTTCAATCCCCAGCAGAGGCACAAAATTGTCTCGGTTACATTTGGAGCCCAGCGTGGAGCCCGGGTGTTCTCTGAGTGTTCTCTGGCAGGTGAAATTGATTGTCCGAACATGGCTTTCTACTAGCACTGGCTAGTGAGTTAACCCTTTAGTCTCGTTTTAAAGTAATCATTATTTAAGTTCTATGGTCAATATAATGACCTAGTAAGCAAATACAATTTATCCTTGAGTCAATTGCTGACTGACGTTTTTCATACTTATTGTCAGTCTATTGTTTATACACTGAGTTGACGAATTTTTCCCTTATTTCCCGATCATAACAAGGAACACACGGCAGATGTGACCGGGATGCTCACTCCTACATGGCACCTGATCTCACCTCTGATGTTTTGGGAGGTCCGCTTTGCTTTGGTCCAATTTTATACATTTTTGATCTTGAATACTGTTCGTTATTTCCATTTGTTTCACTCAAAAGGAAGAGCACTACACTGGAAAGCCAGAGCTCCGGATTCAATCCCCAACAGAGACACAAAATTGTCTCTTTTACAGAAATACGTGGAGATACTAAACAGTATTCGAGCGCAAAAGTCTGCATAAATCATTGAATATTTTTGTTATGACGTCTCAACCAGGTTTTGCGTTAGAGTAACGATTTAATTGTTTTAATTGTTTTCAATTGATAACAATTGATGATTGTTAATTCATTTTTCCTTTATACGACCAAGGAGCACATGGCAAGCGTAGTCAGAGGACGGGGGATGGTTGTTTCTTAGTGTCAGCTGATCCCAGTTTTTGATTCTTTGCTCTGCTTCCGAATTGTGTTATACTAATAGACATTTAGTATTCACGATCTCCAGGTTTGATTTCAAATTTGAAATATGAATTGCTGTTTTTATTATGAAATAAGATTTACATGTACATGCATATGATTATTTATTAGTTTTTATTCCTGTAAACGTTTAAATGAGTTGCACAAAATACTTCAAACTGCCAAGAACATTAATCGTAGTTTATTGCTTTTTATACAAAATGGAATAAGAATATTTTTGCATAATAATACAAAAAAATTATATACGAGGGTTGTTCGAAAAGTTCGTGGACGATGTCAATCTTTGTTACATTATCCTCTAGAAATTTAAAATAAGCACATTATAATATATGTAAAAATATTTTTGTTGATGTGTGAAGTTTCATTCCATTCAATTTAACAGAAATTAATTTACTTAATTTTAAAATCAACATGTTTTGTACCAGCGGAGCTTATGTAATGGCAATGTAACGCCAAAACATAGCGTCAAGAATTTCTAAAAAAAAATACTATCCCTATACTCGTACATTTCACACAATATACATGTAATCCAATGCTCATTCATTAAATATCTTTTTCTTATACTTGACATTTATTTTGTAAGAATTGGTCTCGTTGTATAATTTCCTTTGTTAAGGTTTTATTTTTGTTCATTTCTTAACTCGTTAACTCAGCTTTCACCGGGTAAGCAACTCTGAAGCTCCTATGTCTTTCCTTGACGTTCCAAATTTTTAAAAATTTTGTTCAGAATCGATGAATAAGGAGACATTGAGTTTGTGGGTTGTCATTTAAGGTAGGACAAAACACTCGTGGATTCTATTTTAATCCATTTCTTAAAAAGTACCGGAGGAAAAAAAGAAAAATATTACTATATTGACAACAATGAATGATTCCTGAAAGAAAAATAAGTTTTTGGCGTATGTGCGTTATATTTTGTGAAAAAAATCAGAGAATCGTATATATTGGTCACTTGGGAGCTTACATTTTTGAATGTGTTCACGCTATCTAAGTGCAATAAACAAGCATGTAACAGTCTGTTATAAAATGCAGTTCAACTTTTGTTCCATAAAATGTAGAGGGTGATATTTGGAAACATATGTAAGGAGTCTCAATTTTTTATGTACTACAAAGGTCAAGGTCATATCAAGAGGTCAAAGGTCAAATATTGTGACGTCATCTACTGAATTTTTAAGTTTTTTTGCCATAGAATTTTTTTAATCGCCAAAATATTTGAAACCACCTGTTCAATTTTTCTTATTTTTGCACATTTTATTCTAGGACCCATTTGAATCATTCTCTTGATTTTTTTGTAAAAATTGAATTATACATTTTCTCTTAAGAAAACTTAAACTGTCGGATATTTACACGTGAATTTTTAGTTTCTGACACAATGTATGTTCTATTTTACTTAATATTGTACCAAAATTTTTCAGTATCAATGTGACTTACTGATTTAAAGTAACGAAAAGGTTATCTTTATAAAATGTATTGCACAAATTTGCGATAGATTCATAGAAAATTCTAAAATAAGTTGAATGTCTGATTTCACATTCTTCTTACAGGGGTCAGATAGGCCATATTTCAGACTATGTGGGCAAAAAATGTGTGGTTGAATTTCTTTCATATCATATAAAGAGAGAGTTTGTATCCAAGAACAAAATATCAAAGTTTCAGAAAATTTGAATTTGAGGAAAAATTTGACCTATCTATTTGGTCTTACCTTAAACTGGAATATCAATTGCAAGATTAACACATTTTGCATCAAATTAGTGGTATATTTTCTTGAGATCTAATTAAGTTTATTAATATTTTCATATTTTTATTTAATTTCCGTTTTCACTTACTCTTAACAGATTTACACAGATTATATTTCAATGTTTTGATTGCTGATTTCAATGCATTGTAAGTCACACAATACAATATGTTTGCTAAACTCAGGTTCAAGGATATTGCAATAAAAGAGTAAATGAGTTGTAATTTATCCGGAACTGACAGAATTAATTTTCTTAGAAAGTGAGATTTAATTTGACATAATGACATAACGTAGGACATCTTCCTTTTTACCCGGTGCCACTTCTATTTAGTTATGTCATTCTTTAGTCAAAACTGGCTTCTTGGGAGATAAAATTAATTAAATGAAAGTTTACTAGTTTATAAAAAAAAACATGTAAAAATATTTTTGAAATTCCCTCATTTTTAGATTTTTTATAAGAAATAATTAAAAAGAAATCTGAAATAGAATTGTTGTATATCTCCAATAGAGAGAAAAATGGAACGAAAATAGTAAAATAAAAAAAAGGAAATAATTCATAAATAATACCCTTTCATTTGTTCACTCTGTTCAAGTTTATAACACATGTATCCGATGCTGATCTTTTCTTCATATTTCATTCACATGCTTCAGCAGTGTTTTTACTATGTGAAATAATGAATACTACGATATCTATTAGATTCAGACACATTCAACAATCCGTATTGTAATTCCCCTAGAAATATCTTTCTATATTATATTTTTTACTCCGACGAAAGAAATGATTTATTAAATTGGTATAACAGTTTCACTGTTGACCGGCCTGCCAATCCGACATATTAAGTGTTACACCGCAACAATACTGGTGGTAATGTCACACATTAGTATTGATCAGGCTACTCAAAGAAGTGAAAACGACAATACACTTTCTTAAGAAAAAAAGCAAGAACTTAAAAAAAAGCATTACATTTTTATGCATGTACGACTTAAATTATACTATAGATATTCATGAAATACTATAAAAATGATTTTTAAATATTGCACCTGAATTAAATTGATTTACTTTAATCATTACCATTAATAAAACAGTTTTATTGTCTTTAAGGTTTACTTCATATTACCGTAACATTAGACATTCATTACAGATTCCGTAATACAAGTTAAAGGTATGAATTGACCATTGATTATATAAATACAATGTTAAATCGCATATAAAATCAAATGCAAACTAGAAAACATAATGACGACAGATGATAGAAGTTTGGTTTCTACTGAGAATTAGATATAAACTAGAGATGCTGACAACATAATGACGATAGTTGATAGAAGTTTGGTTTCTACTGAGAATCAAATATAAACTAGAGCAGCTGACAACATAATGACGACAGTTGATAGAAGTTTGGTTTCTACTGAGAATCAAATATAAACTAGAGAAGCTGACAACATAATGACGATAGTTGATAGAAGTTTGGTTTCTACTGAGAATCAAACATAAACTAGAGAGAGTAACAACATAATGACGATAGTTGATAGAAGTTTGGTTTCTACTGAGACAGCTCCTCCCCTACCGTCACTGCCAGCTGTAAAGAAAACAAAAACAGTCATAAAGAACTTTATTCGGTAATAACCAATATTTGCCCCCCAAATCAAACTTTGATGGAGATATATCTAATTAAGTTCTTAAACAGGGGAGTATATTCTGATTTCAAAGCACTGAATATTTTCATAAGTAATGACGCCATATTTACGTAATGACGTCACAAACATGACGTAAATTTAAGTTTTTATGAATTTTACAGAAAAATGTACATATTTCGTCGATATTTTGAGTAAAAGTCACCGAGCGCATGTGTGTTCAGGATCTATATTTTGATATAATGTGTAGAATGATAATAGCAATAAAATATGTCAATATTGTTCCTGAACAAACTTGCGAGGATACAATTTAAAGCTAAAATTTTTGAAATTTTGTCCATTTTATCCTCTTTCAGAAAAAGGATATAAAATCGGACTAGTTTGTGGCGTCATAAAAACGAAAATTGTGAATAAACTGCTTTCAGATTATGATATTTTCTGTTAATTTATATTTCTCATACAATTCATTGAATTCAGCACATTTCAAGAAGTTTTCAAAATTTGACTTTTGAAATTGACAAAATGGATTTCTGTTGATCATTTTAATAAAAATTAATGATAACACTGAATATATTAAAAAAAAATAAAATAATATCTAAATTTAGGAAAAAATGCTTACTTAGAGTGGTCACTGTTGTTGATTCTACAAAGGATACAAGTATTAGAATGTAAATAAAATTGTTCATATAAAGTTTAAGTAAGCAGCCACCACCGGAATTTAAAAAAATAAGATTGTTTCTTTTTAAAATGCAGAATGGAATCAATATTTAACAAGACAGTTGTGTTTTTTCTACATTCAATTATTTTGATATACAGTTTAATTGTACGTAATTCTTGTAATTGTTTCCGTAAAGATGCCTTTCACGCTTAGGTGTATTAATTTTAATTTTTTCGTCTGGAGCATAACCGGTAATTCAAAAGATATGTGGAGGTCAGTCGGGTTCGATCGCCGCTGGCCAGATTGCTCTTTCGGTAGAGCACCTGACCGTACTTTCGCGAATCCAGGAATTCCTTTAGGGCGGGGGGGGGGGGGCGCAGTAGAAGGCAGAGGGTCAGGTGGCTGTACTGAAGTCCCCAGTGGGTCTAAGGCAAGGTTTTTTTTTGGCGTCCAGGGGCAAAGCCCCCTAAAGCTGACAAGTTTTTTTTTAACAAATAAGAAATGTTTCTTCCTTGATTTTAGGATAATGGACATATTGATTTTATATACACAAATTTCAAATAGGGGTGTGGGGTGGGAATGCACGCTTTACATTTGGTGTCATGTCATGCACTGGAACTGACAGATGAGAGGCCTGCCAAAGATAATCCTGGGTTGGGGTGTTTTGGGGCCAAAGACCACTAAAGAGGGAGGAATGTGGTGGTAAGTCGGGTTCGATCGCCTCTGGCCAGATAGCTCATTCGGCAGAGCACCAGGGGACCGGGTTCGAAACCCGCTCTGGTTCGCTTTCTTCTCTCCAGTTACAGTTTATGACTTTTTAAAAAATGTATTACATAAGATTAGTTTTCTTTCCTCTAATGATACACAATGCAATCAACCAACATCTTATGAAGATATACATTTTCACAGAGAATTGCTTAAAATTTTAGATTTATTTTATCTTTAAGGCATACAATAATATAATTATGTGAATGTTTTAACGTTTAAAAAGAAAACAGTGTTAAAGAATTACTCAAGTTTTACCTGCTGTTTTACGTGGTTTTGTGATGGAAGGATCTGTAAGAAATTACGTACAATACTTAAATAGAGAACTAAATATAATTTTTCATTACAATATGAAAAAAATCAGACTTCTTAGATCTGCACCGTATACACTCTGTGTATGTGTAATGAAAAGTGTATACGGCACGGATCTAAAAATCCTGATTTAAAGTAGATTGTGCTTAATAACCTTATAAAATAACTTTTTAACTAAATTAATGTCTTCTTGTAAAATCAAACCAATATCATTCTGAATTGAATTTTTACAACAACAATCTTAAAACTGGCTGAACTTAGTAAATATTCATTAATTTAAGGAATCACTTTCCCACTATCGTTGATGTCCCTGGCATACTATACTAACTAGACAGTGATTCTTTATATTTCCATTTCATAGTGAAATAAAATTGTAGATTTAGACTTTAAAAATGTAGACATAGACATAAATTACACAAGGACTTCCATGCCAATTTCAATAGTCCTCGCTCACTGACGTCAAACACATAGGCAGCAGCACGAGATTTACATGCATACTTGGACTCCTTAGCGTCAGACACAGAGACAGATGCGCATGAGGTTTGCATGTATAGTAGGCCTCCTTAGCTCCTGACCTATCGACGTGCCTAATTTTCATTCCGGCAGAATTATCAAGAAATAAACTCCGACAACTTTCAAAGAGTTATCACAAAGAAAAAAAAATAGAAATGGAAATATTTCAGCATAATTTTATACTTACCTATGACTGTAATATTTTGAGAATCAGTATTCTCAAGACCTTTAGTGGTATACTTTACTTTACACGCGTATGTACCAGTATCTTCTAATGTAAGGTCTAATGAGACAAAAAAAGTTTGTTGCATTAAGAATTTATTTTAGATTTTTAGATGCACTTATTAAGAGAAAGGGAACAAAAGCATCGCAATGTACCTGGAACTTGAAGTTCGAAGTAAGTCGTATTCTGTACAGTAATTGCCCCGCACGTGTAGTTCATATTTAGCCATATTTTTTGACCGTTGTAACAATAGTCAGTATTCCCAACTTTCCAATAGGCATCCACGTTTGTTATATTTTCATCAGGTGGTAATTCCACGTCACATATTCCTCGAAATGTGTCACCAATTTGATAGGGTCCATGGTGAGGAAATTGGAAACCAACACGTATATTGATCTGAGAGATCACATCTAAGAATAAAACAAAATCAATCTTTTTGGTTCACAGAAAACAATCTATTTAAAACTTGATATGCGCAACATCTGACGATCGTTCGTCTGATGCAAAAATTTATTTATTACTGCGCTCATAAACCCTTTTAATTTGAAATATGCATTATGTTTTACACAATGATTGAAAGGTTGAATGATTGCTTGACAATAATGATTTCATCCACTGTTTTAAATTTTTTTTTTATCTCTTTATAGAGATTAAAGATAACTTTATAATGTTAAAGATATTTGTTAAAGAAATCAATTGTTTAGTAACTGTAGTAGCATACTTTACTTAAAGATACCAATTACATTGCTTTTTCAGAAGATGGTTTTATCGAAAGAAACAAAATAAGTGGTATAAATCACGCAGATCTTCAATTTTCACTCATGTATTGGCTTGAAAACTGAAATAGTTAAAATGAAGGAAAAATTTACTTATTCAATTTCAATTAACCCATTTAAGTCTGTTGCAACACACATTTTCATTGATAAAAATAAGTTTAAATTGCAAAATCTAGATCTGTTGTTGCCAAAGGCACAAAAAATAATGTCAAAAACATTGCAATCCTCTTGACTTTACTTGAGGCAACGAAATAATTTCCTTTAAAGAAATTCAAGTAATGTTGTCTATGAAAAATATACTAGTGGAAAAAAGAAACTGCATAACAATTTTAGTAAGTTTTTTTCTATATTTATCGCTTATTTTAGTTAAAGGTAAACAATCGATAAAGGTGATGTTTTTTAACAAAATCGGTTAGAACCCGACTCTGATGCACGGGCTTTTCATGGTTAGTGAGCACAAGTTGTTTATTGACGTGTTCGTTTACACAAGTTTAAGTGGCCAAAATGTTTGGAGAAAGAACTGTTTAATGTTTTTTTTTGGATTCTATTCGATACGAAAAACGCTTTAGTTTTGATCAAATTTACCCTTTTGTCATGCCACGATTCAGCAAAAAGCAACGTAATATTCCTATTGGATTGCTTCAAGCTGGAATGGCAAAAATTATTGTTGCAAGACACTTTGGAGTTCATAAGAACACCAACCAATCATTATGAAAAGGTTTTCAACAATCATGGAACACTCGGGATCGACCACGTTCTGTGCGTCCTAGCGTAACGTCGCGTTGACAGGAGAACCACATTAGACTCATGCACCTGAGAAATCGGTTCCAGACAGTAAGTTTGACTGCTCGAAGGATTCCTGGATTTAGACCAATCAGTCCAAGAACTGTGCGCAATCGTCTGCGCGAGCACATCAGACCAAGACGTCTAGCTGTTCGCCTAATACTGCTTTTACGTCAACGTATCGCTAGACTAGCGTGGTGCAGACAACAGCTGTAACGTTGAATTTAGGCCTGGCCTTATCCAACATCTGTAACAACACCCCCCATGCATATCTGAAAACTTTGGTGTCATCAATGAGGCGCCGTTGTCAAGATTGCGTATGCACATTGGGGACACGGTTACCAGTCAAGTTTGTGTTGTGCAAAATTGACAGTTCGGTGGCGTTAACGTGTGGGGTATGAAATGCCGTTTTGAATGCATTTGTTCATTGTTATTTTCATTATCTATTCATGCATAAAATAATGCACAGTTTCTTTTCTCCGCTAGTATATATCAACATAACAAATTATCGAATATTTTATAGCAATTTGATTCATTATAACTATTTTATTGAAACCCTAATAACGAATAAAATTCTTAAATTATTTGTTATGAGGGTAAGAAATATGCACGCTAATTATTCACGCCTACATTTTTCAACATTTTAATTCAATGTAAATGTCGATTTGGCCATGAAATCTTTGGTTAATACAAAGAATAGTTCAATGGAAAATAATGAATTATATTAATACCAGCACTTAATTGTAAATTACCCATAACCCAGCTCTTGAAAAAAGAGGGTAGACGATATTTTGCTCATAAATCGGACTTTCATGCAACACCATGTTTTAATATAGTCATGCATATGATTTAATGTTCCTTATATCTTTTCTTATGTTTTAGTCAAATAAATAAAACATAAATATATTAATAATATATACTGTTTCAGTTGTTTATCGCTTTGAAATTGGAGGAAAGTGCACAATTTTTGTCAATAAGTTTGAATACCATTGTCTTTCCAGTGTTCATAAATTGACTTTGTTTGACGTTAACGTCAATGAATTATGAAATGCCGTTATGAATGCATTTGTTCATTGTTATTTTCATTTCTTTGATTTGATAAAAAAATGCACAAGTTTTCCTCAGTTTTAGTATATATCTTTGTTTTTCCCAAAATAACAAATTATAAGAATATTTCATATAATTTGATTCATTATAAAAAATATTGAAATTCATAATAATAAAATTCTTGAAATTATTTGTTATGAGGGTATGCGGGAGAAACAATACTACCGTTCGCAGTTCTTTGTTTACATGAATTCTAACATTTGTTATTACACATTAAATTTCCTTGAATTTTTCAACATTTTAATTCAATGTAAATATCGATTTGGCCATGAAATCTTTGGTTACAAAGCTCTTATCTATGCGGTCACCTGACAAAAACTACATTTTCTGTTGGTGAAATTAAACATCATGCTGAAAATTTGTGACACGACGTTTTAATTGGCCATGAAACAAGAAAGTTATTGAATATTTATAATGGTGTATCTTGATTTATTTGGACGAAGGGAGGGACTCATGCTTTGCACTCGTCACCGTCCTTCGTCCAAATAAATCAGGATACACCATAATAAAGGTACACAAACTATTACTAAAAAATGGGGGCTTCACATTTTAGTGTCTTTGGCGTGGACAACGATACGCTTATTTATGAATTCCGCTAAGAAATAATTTAGAAATATAATACAGAGCACCCAGACACATATAGCGCTATTTCATGATTACGCCAACAACTCTATACTCAGTAATGACACTAATGCTCCTTGTCATGCTCGGGGGGAAATAATGGAAAATCCATCATAAATTCAGTGTAAATGTGTATCTTCTTGTAGACTTTACAAATACTGAATTCACGTAAAAAAGCGTTTTTTGTCATTATCCAATAAGAAATGATCGCATTGAATGTCATATTGATGTTATTAATTTAAATTTATACTTACATTTATTCATACTATGAGCCAAAAATACAAAAACAGCGATAGCTTGCAGAAAGGCAAACGTTTCCATGACCATCTACAAAGAAAGTTTTAATTTAAGCATAAGTTAACAAGCAGGAAATACGAAACCGAGGTCATGATTCATGGCAGGATGCTATTTGCCATAATTTCTTGTAAAAAAACTTATAAAAGTGCAAAAGTACAATAGCTTTACCCCCTTCCCCGCAATTACGATTTTAACGCATATGCCTATTTCTAACGCAAAATCACGCATTACCGTTCTAATTTTTCACGCACTTTAAAAGTTCATTAATCTTTAATTTGTTATTACACATTAAATTTCCTTGAATCTATTTTAATTGAAAATCTATAAAATAAGTTAAGTTATGTTTGTAAATTAAAATATAAACGTCAGATTATTATTTACTCTAAGCTTTAGAGAAACGTGTACCACGTTAAAAGGTGCTTGCGGGGAAATGGTAAATTTCTATTTCTATGACATAGACATTAAGTGTATGTTGCATAACAGTTTAGTAAGTTGTAAAGAGTTAAATGTTTTTCATAATGGAGTGTACATTTTGCCACAAGAATGTAAAATATGCAGTACGTTTTGATTGGCCATGAAACAAGAAAGTTAAAATTGAATATTTATAAAAGGTGAAATTCACAATTCATTTTGAAAGGGAGGGACCATGCTTTGCATATCGTAATTACTTAGCGTCCTTCGTCCAAATAAATTAGGATACACCATAAGTATAAAGGTACACAAACTATTACTAAAAAATGGGGGCTATTTCACATTTTAAATTTTATCTAAAATGGCGTGGACAAAGAGCGATTTCGCTTATTTATGAATTACGCTAAGAAATAAAAAAAAATATAATACAGAGCACCTTTCTTCACATATATATATATTTCATGATAAAACCAACAAGCAATAGGTAAAGATTTTCAATGACACTAATGCATTTTCATGCTATATAATGGAAAATCCATCATAAATTCAGTGTAAATGTGTATCTTCTTGTAACTTTACAAGTACTCTCTTCACGTAAAAAAGCGTTTTTTGTCATTATCCAATAAGAAATGCATCGCATTGAATGTCATTTTGATGTTATTGATTTTCAATATATAATCAATTACATTTATTCCATACCCTGGGGCCATAAAATTCACAATTTTGGAAGTGGTACTTTTGCTCATCATAACTATTTGCTTAGTTAGTTTATTTAATACCCAGAAGCAGAAAGAAGATTTTCAAAGAATTAATGCATTTTCACTTAAGATCAATAGAGCCCCACCCTAACACCAGAACCCATGACCATCTACAAAGAAATTTTAATTTACTTTTGCATAATTAACAATTTGCTTAGGAAATACGAAAGCAGAGGTCATGATTTTCAAAGAAGGATGCTATTTGCCACGATTTCTTGTAAAAAAACTTATAAAAGTGCAAAAGTACAATAGCTTTAACCATCTTCCCCGCAGTTACGTATTTTAACGCATATGCCATTTCCTATTTCTAACGCAAAATCACGCATTTACCGTTTCCACGCAATCACGCATTTTCACGAACTTTAAAAAGTTCATTTAATCTTTAATTTAATGCCGCTTTCCTTCTATCTTATACTTGCAAAAATCTCATAAAATAAGAAAAGTTGTGTTTGTATTAAAATATAACGTCAGAATATTATTTACACTAAACTTTAGAGAAATGTGTACCACGCTAAAAGGTGCTTGCGGGGAAATGGTAAATTTCTATTTCTATGACATGAACATTAAGTGTATGTTGCATAACAGTTTAGTAAGTTGTAAAGAGTTAATTGTTTTTTTTAATGGAGTGTACATTTTGCCACAAGAATGTAAAATATGCAGTAGAATCTTGTAAACATTTTCTTTCCTGAAATAAAAAATCCAATAATTTTTTCTTGTCTTCCTTTTGGGGAAAATTGTTTTCGGTCATAGTTGATTTTTAAGCGCCCAGATCGATAGATCGTGGCCGCAACTTGTTTTCGTCCTGTCTGTCTGTTTGTTTATCTGTTTTCAACTTTCACATTCGCCATAACTTTTGAACCATGAGAGATATAGACTTCATATTTAGTATGCTTACACCAAAAATTGAGCTCTTCCAAATGACACGAAGATTAATGACCGTGTAAAACAGATTTTTCGAACTATTCTCATAGCTTTTGAACCAAAAAAGATAGAGACTTTTTTATTTGATATGCTTACTACAATAATTAAACTCCTTAAAATGACACGAAGGTTAATGATTTTGTGACCTTGACTTTGACCTATATGCTAAAATTTTTTTTCAAACCTTCGCCATAACATTGAAGAATTAAAGATGCTGACTTCAATGCACTGAATATTTTCATACGTAATGACGTCATAAGTACAAAATGACGTCACAAACATGACGTAAATTTGTTTTTTATGAATTCTACAGAAAAATGTACATATTTTGTCTATATTTTGAGTAAAAGTCACCGAGCGCATGTGTGTTCAGGCTCAATATTTTGATGAAATGTGTAGAATGATAATATCAATGAAATATGTAAATATTGTTCCTAAACAAACTTGCACTCTATAAATTATAAAGCTAAAACTGTTGAAATTTTGTCTATTTTGTCCTCTTTCTAAATTTCTCAAATCTAGACTGTGCAGTGGAAGTCCCGGTAGGCTAATTGATTCTTGGTATTTTAACCAAGTTATTTTGTAACGTGAAGCGGACGCCCATCCAAGGGTTAAACAGGCTCGCCGTTGCTTAATTTGCCTGAAATAAAGGGAATTTACTGCAAAACTAGAAAAACTTCCTAGCGGAAAGTAAAAGTTTCCTATATACTGTCCGCTACACTTCCCCCCGCTCAGGGAAGCTTCGACCCGAAACTTAGCATGATTTCTCTCTGAGTGTCTGGGTCTCTACAGTTACAGCGCAACCAATGATATTCATTAGCCTTGAAGCTTTCTGAAGCAGATCGGAACCTGACTTCAGATACGGCAACCCCTGCCGTCCACGAAGTCTGTATGGACACTAAGTCCTAGCTCTAAGAATTCTGAAGCAGGACACCATACACCAGAGTCACCACGCTGCCACCAGTTTTGTAACGTGAAGCGGTCACCCATCCAAGGGTTTAACAGGCTCGCTGTTTGTATATACCTGTGTAATTTGCCTCTACCGCATCATTAGGAAAGCTAGCTTCCCTAGCAAGGCAGTATAAGTTTCCTATATACTGACCGCTATAATTTTATTATTGTCATTGTAATTGATGATTAGAATTATTAACTATAAAATCAAATATTATTAGGCCTATTGCAGTATTGTGTGGAAAATTATTTACAGCTGATTTACATCACACGACTGAAATTTGATATTACATTTTCCTGACCATCGAACGCCTTAATTTTTAAATTCATAGTATAATAACAATTATTATACTTGGGATAAAAATTACATTACCGAAACAAGTTTGTGCAGATCGTGTTTCAAACCATGATTTTGGAAAGCCAAATTTCTTTTATGAACAATGTGTATTTGTAAAATATATGCCGAATATATGTTTCTGACTTTCAACTAGTGTGGATAAAGTACTTGTATGTTGATTTCCCTTTAGTAGAGAGGTAGGGGCCCATATTTTTTGAGATGTAAAACAATATGATCTTTTTCAGAAAAAATAGAAGAAAAATAAATGAGACCAATAAACATTTTTTCTAAATTTTATTTCAGAATTGAATGATGAGGCCAAACATATGGCTTTCAAGCACCTAATTGACTTCGATGTAAACAAACTTGAACGCCTTGCTGGATGGTCATGTATTTTTTGTATCGAAATGTTAAGTAACAGTAGTACTACAAGAGGTGAAAGTGAAACATCTGAAAAGTTTGTTTTGAATGAACGAAGCCAAACTAAAGGTAAGTAATTTTGGTAAGAATATATAGCAGAATGTAATACTGTTGCGCAACCTACAGTTTCGTACGAATGAGACATTAAATACCAGTCTATTTATCTGCAAAGATGATGATTTGACAACGAGGAGAAAAATCTGATATTCATACACGGTACCATTACTAAACAATTAAAACGCAGAAATTACGATATATTTCGATTTTTCTTGCTTACCAAATGGATTTGTAAATATTCTTGACCATGCATACATGTAACTCAACGTTATCATGGTAGTATCGCTTCATTCATTTTTCAACTAATGTTACATGTATAGACTAGTACATCTTTTACTCATCATAATGTCAAAAAAATATAAATACATACATTTTTATTGATTATTCGGATCTCAAAAGTCTTTCCATGAAATGTAAATTAATAGTTCTCAGAGGGCAGCCAAAATTTCAAACACTGAAGCACCTGACTGTACAGAAACTACGAGGAGACGTTCACGTCAAAATTACGCCCTTGTGACATTATTGTAGACATTAACATTACATAAAACTTACCATGTTTATTAATACGCGTGTTTTTGCTGTGAAACCCTTCTAGATCTGTGTAATGATTGTGAGTTTTTAAACAAAATAATATGTTTTTATTCATAAGATTTTAATCCATGATTCATTACCATCTTCATGATCTCTTGCGTGAAAAGTATTCCCAAAGTAGTATGTAGATATGTGAAATATGAAAGCCCTATTTCTTATCA